CAGCTATAGCAAACCCTAGAACAAAGACTGACCATTTGGGTGCCTCCATTGGTTAAGCATCGGACTCTTGATAGCAGCTCAGGTCATGATCTCACGGGGTTCCTGAGTTCGAGCCCCAAGTCTGGCTCTGCACTGACAGTGTGAAGCCTGGTTGGGAATCTCTCACCTTCTCTGTCTGCCCCTCCCCCACATGTGTGCTCGCTCTCTCTCTCTCTCACTCTCTCTCTCTTAAAATAAATACTTAAAACACTTAAAAAAATAAAAATGAGCAAAGAAATGAGAAATACCTTCCCAGGTTCACAGATCTATTTAGAGGAAGATCCTTGCTTCCTAGTCCAATACCTCTGCCACTAAAAAAAAAGTAAATAAGGGTCTACCAGAAGCTCCAAGGTTATAAACTTCGTAGGTCTATGCGCATCTGGTGCTCTTTCCTCCCCTTACAACAGAACAGTCTGTCCTTCTATCTAAAGCCAATCCTTCTTGCCCAGACTTTAACCACATCCTCTCCTGCTTTCCTCAGCATTTCATATTATTAGTAATACCTCCTTTTTGTAGTATATTCAACCTCTTGCTTTTTTTTACGTTTTATTTAATTCAGAGAGAGACAGCGTGAGCAGGGGAGGGTCAGAGAGAGAGGGAGCCACAGACTGAAACAGGCTGCAGGCTCCGAGCTGGCAGTCAGCACAGAGCCCGACGCGGGGCTTGAACCCACTAACCGCGAGATCATGACCTAAGTGAAAGTCGGACGCCCAACCGACTGAGCCACCCAGGCGCCCCTACACCTCTTGCTTTTAACTAGATCCATTCATCATGTCAAAATCTAACCTTTCAAGAAAAAGGAACAAGAGGGGCACCTGTTTGGCTCAGTCAGTGGATGGAGTGCACGACATTTGAAGTTGGGGTTGTAAGTTCGAGCCCCACGTTGGGTGTAGCAATTACTTCACAAAAATAAAGGAGCACCTGGGTGGCTCAGTCGATTGAGTGTCTGACTTGGGCCCAGGTCAGGATCTCACGGTCTGTGAGTTTGAGCCCCTCAGACGGCCCCGCACTTACAGTTCAAAGCCTGCTTTGGATCCTCTGTCTCCCTCTCTCTCTGCCCCTCCCCTGCTGGTTCTCTCTCTCTCTCTCAAAAATAAATAAATAAACATTAAAAAATAAAATAAGATAAAATCTTTAAAAAGAGAAAAAGGAACAGCAAACTTATTGGACCCCTCCCCCTCCCATATGCCCAGGCTCTGTTCCATCTTTCCACCCCACTTGCATCTGCCTCCGGCCTCATCACCCCAGCACACATCCCTCCTTAAGATCACGTATGACCTCCATGCCACAAAACCCAACAGAAAATCCTCAGGCACCAGATTCTCTCACTCTCAGTGCCGTTGAACCCAGGTGACCGGCTCTGCCATCTTGAGACATGTTTTCCTTTGGGCTTTAGGACGCTAACACCCTCCTGTATTGTATCCCGCTTCCTTGCCCATTCCTTCTCAGTAATGTTTGCTGGCTCATGGCAACTACCTGGCCAGTCAATGTGGTGGTTACACAAAGCTTGGTCTTAGTTCTGTTTTTTCCTCTCATTTTTATTTATTTATTTATTTATTTATTGATGTTTACTTATTTTTGAGAGAAAGAGACACAGAGTGGGAGCAGGAGAGGGGCAGAGAGAGAGGAGACACAGAATCCGAAGCAGGCTCCGAGCTCTGAGCTGTCAGCACAAAGCCGGATGCGGGGCTCGAACCCGCCAACTGCGAGATCACGACCTGAGCCAAATTCAGAAAGTCAACCAACTGAGCCACCCAGGCGCCCTTTCCCTCAGTTTTAAAAGTAGCTTAATTCCTTCTGTCTCTCTACTCTCTCGGGGTGAGTTAGAGCCCAACACGTTGATAGCCAGCTATACGCTGCCCACCCCCAAGTTCCTGTCTCCAACTCAGACCTCTCCTCACAGACTAATGTCATGTCTTCTTTGATGGCTCAAAGATTCCTCAAAATCAACACATTCAAATAGAAATCTTTATTTTCTCTCCTAAAGAAGACACCCTTGCAGGGACGTGGGTGGTTCAGTCGGTGAAATGTCCGACTTCGGCTCGGGTCATGATCTCGAGGTCTGTGAGTTCCAGCCCCACGTCGGGCTCTGTGCTGACAGCTCAGAGCCTGGAGCATGCCTCCAATTCTGTGTCTCCCCCTCTCTCTGCCCCTCCCCCGCTCATGCTCTGTCTCTGTGTCTCTCAAAAATGAATAAACATTAAAAAATGTTTTTTTAGAAAAAGACACTCCTGCAATGTTTCATAGCTCAGTGAAAGGCACAGTAATTGATCAAGTTATGCAGTAGCCAACTTGGTTATCCTTGGCCCCTTCACCCTCTAGATCCAATTCAGCACTAAATCTATTTTACTTTCTAAATACGTCTTAAATCCATCCACTTCTCTCTCTATCCACCTCCTTCCCACCAACCGCCAGATGCAGGCTGACTGGTCTGTCTGTGTGTCCCTGATCCTGCAGTCCTGTCTCTACATCACAGCCAGACTGATGGCTTCAGCACACATCTGATTAGGTCACGTCCCTCCCCCCACTTCTGCACACCCCTCAACATAGACCTCCATCAAACCGTTTACTAGCTTCTTTTTATTCCTAGGAAAAATGCAAACTTCTTCAGTATGGCCTACAAAGTGCAGCTGGCCTTGATTCCTGCTCAGCTTTCCACTCCGTCTTGCACCTAGTGCTCCCCCTACTGTCTCCATTGCAAATGCTGCTTCCCTTTCCCCTTTCACTCTACTTGCCAGGCCCCTCCCACCACAGGGCCTTTGCACTAGCTATTACCACCTCCCCAACCCCCCTCACTCCTGCTTTGTGTGGTTCACCGTTCCTCAGCCTGTCAGATCTCAGGTCCAGCGTTATTTTCCCGGGGAACACAGTGTTCCCTGACGAAGTCAGAGCCTCTTATCAGAGGCGCTTCTGTTCCCCGATATCGACTTATTGCCATTGCGGTTGTACATTCATTTGGTGAATACTTAAATTATTTCTCTCTTCCCGTCCACCCATTCTTTCATTTGGCAGATTATTTCCTGAGCTCCTACTGTGTACCAGGCATTATTTAGGGGAGACAAACTGTAAACAAATAAATATGCAATATGCCGTCAAGCAGCAAAACCTGCTATGAAGACCTGACAAACCGGGTAAAAGGACAGAATACGGGAGGCTGCTGCCTTGGGACAGGACAGTTACAGAAGGCTTCTCAAAGTGACTGAGCGGGGGCACCTGGGTGGCTCCGTTGGTCAAGCCGCAGACTCTTGATTTGGGCTCGGGTCACGATCTCACGGTTTGTGACAATGCGGAGCCTGCTTACGATTCTCTCTCTCTCCCTCTCTCTCTCCCCCTCCCATGCTTGCGCTCTCTCTGTCTCTCTCAACATAAAGAAAAAAGAGAAACGAAGCGACTGCGCGGGAGAGGTAATGAGAGGGTGAGTCCCGAGGGCGTGTGGGGGATGGGCATCCCAGGGAGAGGAAATGGGAGGGTGAGCGCAGGAGGATGCTGATCCCCATTCAAGGAAAGGCCCGGAACCCTGTGGGGCTGGAGCTGAACCGAGGGGAGGGTGGGGAGGGCGGCCGAGGACGGGGGTGGGGGCGGCTCCTTCCCGTGGGTCCTTGCAGCCAGGACGGGGGAAGAAGGAGTGACTGGATTCTATGCATGTTCTAAGTGATCCTGGTGCTGTCCTGAGGAGTTTGGACTCAGAAGGGCCACAGGTGGAAGGAAGGAGCCCAGTTAGGCTCTGGATCGGTGCTGAGGAGACATGATGGGCGCTCAGGCCAGGGCGAGCCTGGTGGAGGTGGGGAGAAAGCAGCGCATTTTGAAGGCAGAACTTTCGGGATCTGTGGCTGTGTTCCTCCAAACCCTCCAGTGGGTCTCCCTTTCACGGAGAACAAAAGTCAAAGCCTAAGCGGGACCCATGGGGCCCTCTGATCGGTCCCCCGCCCCTCTCCGGCCTCACTGGCCTCCTGGCCCTTCGGAGGACAGACCAAGCATGAGGTCCCCCTTCTGCCTTTGCTGTTCCCTTGGGTATCGGGTCAAGCGGGGGTCCGCACGGTTTGCTCCCTCGAGGTACTGCTCAAATGTCGCTGTCTCAGAAAACCCTTCCTTGATGGTCCTATACGTTCCCCTTCCCTGCTTCCTTTTCCCGGATCACTCTTCGCTGTGGTACTTACTGCCGTCTGACACACACACGCCACACACATGGCTCTGCACACGCAGGCTCATAAGCCATGTGTGGATTCCTCCCGTGAAGGCAGAGACTTGGGCCATTTCGCTCACTTGTAAAGCAAATCTCCCGGAACAGTGCCTGGCATACAGTAGGCGTCCACTAAATGTTTGTGAAATCTCGTTGAAACGGAGAATGAGCGGAGCAAACAGTGGCTCCGGGGTCTGGGACCGGAGCGATGGTGTCACTGACCGAGGTGATGTTGAAAGTTTTTCAAGGTGAGCATCGGGACCCCCTGCTCCAAACCCCCAGCTGCTGTCCCTCAACTGCCTCATTCAGAGAAGCCCTCCCTCCCTTTGGGGCCCACGGAAGCCCATGACACGTCCAGAAATTCTCGGGGAGTGGATTCCCCTTCTCTTCCCAAGGGGAGACAGGGAGAAAGCTGCGATGAGCCAAAGACACTTTCCCTGGTCCTGAGAGTGAAGGTGACATCAGTTTGATGCAAAGCCCGTCGCTGATGTTTTAGACATTACTGACTCTGTGTGTGGTTTCCGGCAAACAACTGGCCGCCTACTTTAAGAGACAATATCACTAAGTGCTTTTTTTTTAATGCAAAAAGAAAGAAATAAAAAAAGAGCTCCCTATTTTCCTCATTCCTGCAGGTGCCCAACCCGAAGGACTTGTTGGAGTGCATTTTCTGCATTCTTAATAGATAGCCAGCAGGAAATGCCTCTTATAGCCCCGGCTGCAGGGGTAGAAAGTAGCGAGGGGAGGGTACGAAATTCCCAGCCCCTGCTTCCGCAAGCCCTGAGCTGCTCCAAAGTGGGCCAGGCCATTCTGACCATCGCGACGCACCTCTGCCCAGCCGTGGGCTCTTACTGTCTCGGTTGATGGTCAGGAGTTAAGGTAGGAGACTTTGGCGGGGGGGGGGGGGGAGCAAGGAGAGATGGAAAGTCAACTGCGGAGGAATCGGGGCGAGGAAGCGGTGAGCATCCCATGCTTTGCTCACTGATAGATGATCTGGTCCCTTGGGGGCTCTCCTTCCGAGCGATCACCGCGGCGACTTCTGACTTCCCTGACGCGACACCCTACCCCACGCCCGAGGTGCTGGGTACCATTCTGCGGAAGGGCGGTAAGCGTGTCCCTGCAGGCAGGCTGGGTGCGGTAGAGTTGAGGCCGAACTGCTGGCATTGGAGTCTGTGTTAGAGTATTTATGCAGACGTTTGGGCGTTATTTTGAGGTCAAGTTGGAGCGCTTGTTGTCCTGGAGGCTTCGGCCTTGGGGAGATCACAAGCTACAGGGACCTTCTGTAATTTTGCTGTGCTAAGCGCCCAACTGCCAAAGCTTGACCTTAGGGTTTTGTCTGCAAGAGGCTGTTGATTACAAGCCGGGGACCGGGACAGGGACGTCTCCCGGAAGGTCCCACCCTCTCTCCGCCTCGCTGCTCTTCTCTGCGCTCCAGCCTTGCGGTATCCCCTTTCCTTCAGCCAGACTCCAGTTCACTCCAGTGTAAAGAGACCCGTCGCGGAGGGCTCAGGTGGGGATGGACCTGCCCGCGTTCCTCCTGAGTTGCCGTGAGATGCAGCTTCTCGCAAAGGCTGTAGCCAATAACATGTCTCAGAATGTCACAGCCCTCCAACACACCCCGTCTCCACTGAGCTGTGGGTGCAGGCTGGACGCTTGCCTGCGTGCTTGACGCAGAGAAGGGACCCGTGGATTTCCTTTGGGATGTGTGTCCGTGTGTTTGGGGAGGAAGAGAAGGGCAGAGGTAGAAGCTGTGGCTCATTCAAGATCCCACTGGCCTAAGGTCTGATCCTTTCCAAGGTGATGGGGATGAGACGAGACGTTGCCTCCTGCTGTCTCTCCCTAACCTTTCCTGGCTGTGGCCAGTGGCCTGTGGTCTCTGCTCTTTCCCCGAGGAGACTCGGAGCAGCGTGCTCCGGGGCCGTGATGCCCTGAGGGTCCGGCCGGCTGCCTGCCTTGGGGCTTCAGGGAGACTCAGCACAGATAGATTTGCAAGCTGCGTCCAGCCTGAGCTTAGAGCGGTCGCCACCGGCATTTGCCTGGGTAAAGCCACGAGCCCCACAAAGGTGCTCACAGCCCTTGCAAGTAGCAGTTTTGAGGAGGAGCCTGAAAGAGTGCACAGATGTTCTGCCTATAGTCCCTAAAGGAAACCAGGTGGCTGCCTTAGGGCCTGAGTCAAGGTTGTCTAGAGATCAGAAACCAAGCCTTCACATTTGATAGACGGTGGGGACTGAAGGTCATAGAAGGGGTCTGTTAGTCCCACCAAGCAGACAATAAGGGACGCTGGGGAAAGGACAGAGTTGAAGCCAGACAGGGTTCAAATCCCAGCTCTGCCGCCCACCTAGCTGTGTGGCCTGGGCAGTTCATTTCACCTTCTGGGCCTCCATATTGCTCATCTGCAAAATGGGGACAATAATACCTGTGCTGAGGGGTGTAAAGACTAGAGAAAATATACGTATAAGCGTCAGGCACAGAGGAGGTGTTTTGTAAACTGCGGCTTTAGAAAAAGCGCCGCCTCCCAACATTTATCATTAACTTTTTACTTCAGAACAGCTTTGCGGGGCGCCTGGGTGGCTTAGTCGGTAAGCGTCCGACTTTCGCTTAGGTCATGATCTCGCGGTTCGTGGGTTCGAGCCCCGCATCGGGCTCTGTGCTGACTGCCAGCTGAGAACCTGGAGACTGTTTCAGAGTCTGTGACTCCTTCTCTCTCTGACCCTCCCCTGCTCACGCTCTCTCTCTGTCTCCTAGAAATAAATAAAAAAATTAAAAAAAAAGAAGAGCTTTGCTTTCTTTCCTCTTCCTTTTCCGCCTCCTCCTCCTTCTTACTTCCTCTTCTCCTCCAATTCTTCTTCTTCTTCTTGCTATGTTTTCACACAATTGTGTAAATTTCAGGTGCTCTGTGCCAATTTGGTAAATGTAGATATCGTAATAGGATCGTCACTGTAGTGATCATTGGCACCTCTGTCCCCTCACATAGTTACCCTCTCTTTTTGGCAGCTGGAATGATTCAGTTCTAGTTTCTGCAAGTTGGAGGATTTTACTGCGATACGGTAGTGTATGTTCCCTGTACTGTCTTAGATCTTTAGGGTTTATTTACTCCTTATAACTTTGCCCCCTAAACAACACTTGCCCAGTCCCTCCGCCCCCCCCCCCCCAGTCTCTAGTAACCACCACTTTATTCTCTGTTTCTATGAGTTTGGCTTTTTAAAATTCCAAACAGTACAGTTGACTTTTGAACTGCACGGGCGTGGGTCCACTTATATGCTTTTTTTTTTTTTTTTTTT